AAGGCTTATTTAGCTCATTGTTTTGGAGGTTGAAAGTCCAAATTGGGTGGCCTCATCTGTTTGAGCACTGGTGAGGGCTCCTTTTAATGTATCACAATATGGCAAAGAAGCAGAAAGGTAAAAGGTCCCATACAGGACAGACCAAGACCATGAGGTAGCCTTGCAGTACTGGAGTTTGAACTCAGGGTTCATGTTTGCTAAATAGGGTCTCACAAACTATTTCTCAAGGGCTGACTTCGCACTACGATCCTCGTGATCTCTGCCTTTTGAGTAGCTAGGATTATAGACTTGAGCTACTGGTGCCTGCCTAGGCCCGACCTCTTAAAGGTTCCTGGAGGAAGCTGGACCCTCAGGAACAGTGAAGGAAAAGAGTGGTTGAAGGATTGGGAGTGGGTTAAACAGGAATCTAGATTGAGGGAGTGTAACACGTGTGTCCATGCGTGTAGGAATGATATATGGGCATGATTGTATTGATTACTTCAGTAAATATTAATCGGGCATCTAATCTATCAGGCATTGTGCTAGGCACCAGGGAATCATAGTAAAGAAGGTGCGCGGGTTCCTGTCCTGACACAGCTTACAGCGTGGGTACTTGTGCGTGCGTATATACGCCGTGTGAGGAAAGTTAAGCTGAAGGATGGGGATGGAGCCATCAGCAGACAAGGGCGTTTACCCCAACAGAGAATCCTTTCCCCTCAGTTCACACTCCCAGCTTTGCCTCTGGATGCTGTTCCCCCACGTGTCCTCTATTCTGCCACCTAGAAGGGAAGGTAGAGATTTCCTGGAAGCTCCCCTAGGCTCAGGACGTCCTAGATGCCAGAGTGGAAGCTGCGCTGAGAGCACAGTGCGAGGCCCAGGGTCCCTTTTGGTGGGCGCTTTAATCTACCAGCTCAATGCAGACAGGCAGTGCTAATCCAATCTTCTGGGACCAAACGAAACAGCCTGCCGGGAGGGCACTGCCATTGACAAAACCCAAGAAAGCCCTCTCCTGCTGGGAGCTGGCTGGGATCGCTTTTGGATCTTGCCAAGCAGAAAGGACACCAGGGCAGTGGGAGCCTGGCCAAGGATTCCAGAAGCCTCCTTCTAGTCCTTGATCTAAATTAACTCCCTATGTGACTCCAGGAATGTCTATCCTCACTACCGCTACCCCACCTCAATTTCTCCGTTTGGAGCACGTCGGAGTTTAACCAGACATCTCAAAGGTCCCTTCCTGCCCCACTAATCTGGGTCATTCAGTGATGGCAGCTCATTCAATTTACTCACCTAGCCTGAAAAGGTCTCCCGGACTGTTCTGGGACCTATGTGATGGTTAAGAACTTTTAGGGGGACAGAATCCGCACGTGAACACAGCATTTCAACATTCCCAAGGCATATAAAATGGAAAAAAAATCAAGTTTCAAGATGGTTTATACATCTATATATCTCCATAGAAATCCATATCCATATGTGCTTTACAAGATGCACATGCATAGAATATCGGAATATCTCTGGAAGGATAACTAAAGTCCTCCAAACCTTAGAGGAAGGGAACTGGGTGTCTAGGAAGGAGACTTAAATGTCATCATACCTTTTTATACTTCTTGATATTTTCTTAACCATGAGTATTGCTACTTGAAGTATTAAAAAATAATCTTAAAAAATATGTATAGATTTTGTCATTGATTCACTTGTTCATTTAACAAATATTTATTGAGCATCGATTATGTAGCAGGTACCAACATAGGAAGTGATGAATAAGACAGTCCTTGCCCTTAGGAAGTCTATATTCGAGAGGACAATAACCAAATGAATAATACATAATGCCAAGTAAGGATACAGGGTATGAAACACAGAAGAGACTTGGGTGTGAAGCACGGCTTTGCCACTTGCAAATTGTTTGGACTTGAGTAGGTTGCTTTTATCTTTGTGATCCTCAGTTTCCTCCTTTACAATAGGGCTAATAATAAGACTTACTGTGTGGGGCTGTAAAAATTAAATGAAGTGAATAGCAATAGCTGGAACACAACAGGTGCTTAGTGAGCATTGGTTATTGTGTAGTTAACGCTGCTGGGGCAGAGTGAACATGGCCATGGGCTGTGTGAGGACTGATGGAAGAGAAGACACCAGGGACAGGGCAGACTGGGCTGGATGAGGATAAGAGGTGGCCATATGGAAGGAGAGGAGAAGTATGGAGGTTCCAGTCCAGAAGGGAGAAGTGGACTTGGAGCTTTAGCCAGCAGGAAGCCTCTGGTAGCTCCCTGAATGCCTGGCCCAGCTGGGAAAAGTAAGATACAGGTTGGTGAGGCAGGAAGCTCATTTATCCCATCCTCAGTGTCCAAGGTCAGAGCTACACCTAGGTGTCTTGGCAGGACTCTGATCCATATGGCAAGAGTTAAAGTAAAAATGATTCTGACATTCATTAAAGATGGAAAGGCAGACTTTGTTCGAGATGGGTGGGGTTTTATAACAGGTGAGAGACTAGGCTTAGCTCTGAATATAAGGAAAAGGGGGAATTCATAGCCATGGAGCAGGGTGAGGTCAGTGGATGAAAAATGACCAAGAGGAAATGGCAGGGATAAAGGGGATTCCGCAGAAGGCAAGCCAGAGGGACCAGACATCATTTGGGGATGGCAGCAAAGGAGGAAGCAGATCAGATCTTGAGGGTGGGAGCTCTGGTTACAAACTCACTCAGCAGGATTCTTGCTAAAATCTGACAGAGGTACACATGGATTACAAAAGGCAGGGCCTCATGCAGAAGGAAGTTCAGGAAGCCCCTGTGTATTTTGGTAAAGGAGAAAGTCTTGGCCACAGGCACCTCCAGGTCAGCCTGGGGGCTGCAGGGAGGGTCCCCACCTCCAGGGTGAGGCCACACTCCTTCCCACTGGAGTCACTCCTCATGCACAGGGTGGTGACAATATAGGGTTACACTATGTCAGATGGTCTTTGCCTAGCATTGAGTTGCAACCCAGGAACAGGTGGGGAGTGTGTGTGTGGGGGGGTGGCTTCCTCAGAGGTCCCATGCTTGGCTGGCATCAGGTCTCCTGCAGGGTTCAGAAACATAGGGTGGTGGCTGATGGATGTCTCCTTGGAGGCGACACAGCCATGCCCAAGAAAATGTCCTGTGCTTCCTGGGAAAGTGAGGGTGGAGCTTCTCTAGCTCATCCCAGCTGGTCTTTGCTACAGACCAGACTCCAACTCTGGGTCCATCTGGGAAGGAGACTGCACAATCATGTTCTCAGTGACTTATGGCTTGTTGCGGGGTGTGTGTGTGTGTGTGTGTGTGCACATGTGTGCGAGTGTCTGTGATGTGGAAGAATAAGAGCACAGGAAGACAGCACAGGCCTGGTGGAAGGAGAGAGCTAGAGAAGTGAATGTTGGCGTCTCAAGGGAAAATGAAATTCAAGGAGAAAATCATTGCCTGTGGGGACTGAATCTCACCTGCATCCAGTGAATCTTGTGCAGCTCATTCAGCGAAGCTTTTTATGCAAATCCACACGAATTCTGGGCCCTGCGTGGAGTCCTGGGAGGGCCGATTCTATTTCAGAAGGCATGTGGGGGTGGACAGAGAGGGAGAGTGGATAGGGAAGTGCGGGGGATAAGTGGCGGGGATGGGGTAGGGTGAGCAGAGAGGGAGGGCAGATAAGGTAGCAGGAGAACCCTCCTGCCAGCTAAAGATAAGAAGCTGGCCGGTGCGCCCACAGGACTTCTCGGTGGCTCCTGGTGATAGCTTTTTTAGCCACCAGAAAATATGTCTTGGGCTATTTGACACAAAATCCAAAATGTTTACTTTTTCTGAGTTATTTTTGAGCAGCAAAATCCCCTTTTGCCCAAAGGAAGCTTTAAATGAAACCCTGACATAAAAGACAGAAAGAAAGATAAATTGCTCACTTCAAGGATGGAGATAGGGACAGGACAATGTGCCCCTCCTGCTCAGGGGAGGCTCACCTCCTTCCCTCAGGTAGCAAAGGTCTCAGCACAGACTACAAACCTTAAATTCTTTCACCTTCTGTTATAGGCAGAGGACTCTCCTGGACTTCTGTTGCTTCATACTCGTCTGAGGCCAAGTATCCCCTAGTGGGGTCAGGATTGTCCTAGGCTGAGGACCTCTTCATCCTGGGAGAAGGAATCTTAAGGGGGCCACAGCTAGCATGGTGGGAGACAGTATGCTAATTCCTAGTTCTGTGACCTTACTTCTTGCCACGGGCAGAGAGTCTAACAGCAGAGGCTGAATCTTTGCTTTGCCATTTAAAGCTGTGTGATCTTAGGCAGGTCACTTAACCTCTCTGAGCCTCTGCTTCCTCTTCCATACAATGGGCATAGTTTCTGCATCACAGGTTTGTAGAAGGAGTAAAGACATTATCACACATGAGGAGTAACAGAGGCATATGCCTGGGTAACCCAGGAGAGTGAAAAGATGAGTGCAAGTAGGCAGGCATGGACCTTAAAGTGGAAGCTAACACTCAGCTCCAGCCGATTGTTCCTGGTGGGAAGATGAGCCTAAAAGATGCCATTTCCCAGAATTTCCAAGCAAAACCAGAAAATCAATTTTTCTTATTTTGTTTTTGTTTTTGTTTTTGAGACAGGGTCTCATTGTGTAGCCCAGGCTGTCCTTGAACTCACCATCTTCCTGCCTCAGCCTCCTGAGGGCTGGGATTACAGTTGTGTGCCCCCATGCCAGACTAAAAAATCAACATTTAATGTTAAAAACTTTCAATTTTAGACCTTGGCAATGAATTCTCGGTCTTGAAGCAGCGTGTGGGTGAAGCAGAACATACTAGGAAGCCAAGGGTGGGAGCATGGTACCCTGCGCCATCTAGGACAAGAGGCACTGGGTCTCGCTCACTGAGTTCCAGCTATCCCTCTATCTTACGTCCTGTGCATCCTGCTGCCTGCTGAGCTCCGGAGTGCCCTTCTGAGAGGATGAAGAGGTCTTCACAAGCGTCCTGGCTGAGTGTGTCACCAGGCCATGCATGGATTGGCCTCGTCTACGCGCCTTTGTTTTCTGTCCATACTTCCCAGGGATGCCCGTGGAACTCTCGTACAGGTGAGTTAAAGGCAGCTTGGTACCTGCAGAGTGAGCGTCTGTGTGGGGAGGCTCATAGAACAGTGCCTCCTTTACCTATTACTCTGAAGTTCAAAACCAGCCTCTCAAGAACAGTTTGCGGCCTTCAGCCAGGAAACCCGGGAGGCCGGCGCTGCACTCTTCCTTTCCGATCCGCCACCTGCGGTGGAACCGCCGCCAAAATGCAGATTTTCTAAAAAAACCCTTACTGGGAAGACCATCACGCTCGAGGTTGAACTCTCGGATACTATAGAAAATGTCAAGGCCAAGATCCAGGATAAGGAAGGAATTCCTCCGGATCAGCAAAGACTGATCTTTGCTGGTAAGCAACTGGAAGATGGACGTACTTTGTCAGACTACACCATTCAAAAGGAGTCCACCCTTCATCTTGTGTTGAGACTTCCTGGTGGTGCTAAGAAAAGGAAGAAGTCCTACACCGCTCCCAAGAAGAATAAGCATAAGAGAAAAAAGGTTAAGTTGGCCGTCCTGAAATATTATAAGGTTGATGAAAATGGCAAAATTAGTCGCCTTCGCCGTGAGTGTCCTTCAGATGAATGTGGTGCTGGAGTTTTTATGGCTAGCCACTTCGACAGACACTACTGTGGCAAGTGTTGTCTGACTTACTGCTTCAATAAACCAGAAGACAAGTAATTGTGAATGGATTAATAAAAGATGTGAACTAAAAACAAAAAAAAAAAAAAAAAGAAGAGTTTGCTCTGGGCCTGAGCCATGGTGCAGTAGGATTAGCCATCCTCGGAGAGAGGGACTCAGCAGGGCACTGTTGGGTTGCTTGGACGATACACACCTGGAGCCAGTCCAGCTGCCTTTCAGGTCCCTGTGCTGTTGAGGGTGTGCGTGTGTGTCAGGAGGCAGGGTTGGGGCACCAAGGGATTGATCTTTTCTTCTTTCTCTCTCCTCCTTTCTTCCTCTCCCTTCTCCTTCTTCTGTTTCTCTCTTTTCTTTTCCTTTCTCTCTCTCTTTTTTTTAAAGTCACTAGGTGTTTGTAGAAATGATACCTGCCCATGAAAAAAATCTATATCAGAAAAGTTCAAAGAACATCTTGAAAAAAAAAAGAAAGAAGAGAAAAGAAAATCAAAAACAAATTTAAAATCTTACTTCCCAGAAAAAAAAAGAAAATCCCTGACAAGAGTATTTGTGTGCTTTTGCCTACTTAAAGATTGGAATTGTCTTTTGATTATTATCTTTTGGAAAGGGTTAGTTATTAGAGTTCTTTACGCATTTTGGATTAAAGTCCTTTGTTAGACATACGGTTTGTGACTACATTCTGATTATGGCTTGCCTTTTCATTCTTTAATGATGTCTTTTGAAGAGCAGACTTTTTTATTTTAAGAGGATTAATTTATCAATATTTGTTTCATGGTTAGTGCTTTCTGTGTCCTATCCAAGAAACTATTTCCTATTTCAGGCTTCTTATGCTTACTATTTACATAGTATGTCTTTTCACGTTCATTTACTTTTAATCGCATCGGTGCCTTTATATTTAAAAAGCATTTCTTGATGATACCATATAACTGGGTCTTGCTTTATTATCCAGTCTGAAAAATTCTACCTTGGATTTTTGGAGTGTTTAGTCTATTTAAATGTAATGGCAAGTCATGAAATTATTGATATTTTTAGCTTTGAGTCTGCCATCTTACTGTTTGCCTTATCTTTCTTGATATGCTCTTTGTTCCTTTTTTGCATCCTTTCTGCATGTCTTTGAATTATTTTTAATATTCCATTTCATCTCCTCTGGTGGCTTTCTCTATTTCTCCTTGTTTTGTATTTGGTGACTGATTTATGGAAACAATATATATATATATATTATTAACCCATCACAGTCCACTTGGAATTAATATTGTATCAACTCACGTAATGCAAGAAATTCATAATAGTTTACTCCTACTTAGACCTACCCATCTTTTCTTATTGTACGTTTTATTTCCATGTATGCTGAAAATTCCATATAACATTATTGCTTTTGCTTTAAAGCACCTATTATATTTTTAAAAACTTAAGGAACAATGTGGAAAGCCTTTTTTTTTCTTCTTGTTTTTTTTTAAGATGGTTTTTCACTATTTAGCCCAGGCTGGCTTTGAACTCATGATCCTCCTACTTCAGCCTCACTAGTGCACCACCGCACACACTTAGGAAAAAGCTTTTTATTACCTATATATTTAATATTTTAGTTGTCTTCATTTCTTCAGCCAGATCTGTGTTTCATCTGAAGTGCAGTTCCACTGATGACAAATCCTTTGAACTTTTGTTTTTCTGAAAATGTCTTTATTTTGCCTATATTTTTGAAGGATATTTCTCTGGATATACAATTCTAGGTTGACAGGTTTTGCCTTATGTCCCTTCTCTCAGCACTTTCAAGATGACATTACATTTTCTTCTTGCTTACATTGTGGCTAATAAAAAGCAGATGGCTTTTCAATGTTTTTCAGTTTGTAATGCATCTTTTGGCTCTGGCTGCTTTTAAGATGTTTTTTGTAATTTTGGTTTAAGCAATTTGACCATGATATACTAATATGCTCCGTTTATCCTGCTTGGGGTTTATCGAGCTATTGGAATCAGTAGACTATTTTCCATCACTTTAAAAAAAATTGAGTATTATTTCTTCAAATATTTTTTCCTTCCTGCTCAACTGTACTTCTGAAACTCTAATTACTTGATAGACTGTTTGATATTATCCCAACAGTCATTGACACTGTCTGCTTTTGGGGTTTTGTCCTTTTTTCTTTTTTTTTTTTTCAGCACTGGGGTTTGAACTCAGGGCCTCCACCTTGGGCCACTACATCAGTCCTTTTTCTGTGATGGGTATTTTTGAGATAGGGTCTTGCGAACTATCTGCCTGGGCTAGCTTTGAACCACGATTGTCCTGGTCTCTACCTTCTGAGTAGCTAGAATTACAGGTGTGAGCCACTGGTGCCTGGCTCCTTTTTCCTTTCTATTCTTTACTTTGGACTGATTCTATTGTCATAACTTCAAGGCCACTGATCTTTTCTTCTGAGTATCCAGTCTGTTGTTCAGCCTAGCCAGTGAATCTTTCATTTCAGATATTATACTTTTCAGTTCTAGAATTTCCATTATTTTAAGTTTCCACGTCTCTACTGATGTTCCTCCACAGGTTCAATCATTATATACAGCTTTTCCTTGAAATAATTAAAACATATTTATAATCACACATTTCATTGTCTCTGTATGTTTCTCTTGGTAATTTATTTTCCTTGGTTATGGCTTCTTCTTGTGGATCACATGTATAATAACTTTTGCTGGTATGACAGTTAGTGTGGATGCTATATTATTCAGAGTCTGAATTTAGTGTCTTCCCTTAAAGAGTTGTGATTTTTTGTGTCAGACAGTTAATTTACTAGTGAATCAACTTGATCTATTAAAGGCTTAGTCCTTTAAAGTTTTGTGAGGGTGTGCCTAGAGTGGTCCCTAAGCTGGAACTTGACTAGTTGTATACCCTAAGGTGTGGCTTTCCTGGGATCTCGGTCAAGTATCTAGGGTTTTTAGTAAGTCTCTCTGATCACTCTGAGTGATCAGATTTTGTGTGTGTCCCAGTATTGTGACTTCTGGAATCTGCTTTCACCTCACAGTTTCTTTTTCTTTTATTATTCATAACCTAGAAGGTAACACACACACACAGGAAATCAATGTGAGTCAATGCCCTGTATAGCTATCCTTATCTCAACCATGCGTTAAGGGCAACAAATGTTAGCTAATTTTTTAGGTGTCTTACCTATCCTCACCCCTCCCTTGTGTGCTCTCGCTTTTATCATGTGCTCAAAGTCCAATCCCATTGTTGTGTTTGCCCTTGATCGAATGTCCACATATGAGGGAGAACATACGATTTTTGGTCTTTTGGGCCAGGCTAACCTCACTCAGAATGATGTTCTCCAATTCCATCCATTTACCAGCAAATGATAACATTTCATTCTTCTTCATGGCTGCATAAAATTCCATTGTGTATAGATACCACATTTTCTTAATCCATTCGTCAGTGGTGGGGCATCTTGGCTGTTTCCATAACTTGGCTATTGTGAATAGTGCCGCAATAAACATGGGTGTGCAGGTGCCTCTGGAGTAACCTGTGTCACAGTCTTTTGGGTATATCCCCAAGAGCCTCACAGTTTCTTGAAAGCTGTTCTCTGACAGGCTTTGCAGAATGTAGTCCTACACATTTACTCTTTACATTTGGCTAAAGACTTAAGGAGACCTCTCTACAGATTTCAAAGCTCTTTCTATGCGAAAATCCCTGCAATTCCAGCTGCTCAGCAGCCTTGGACTCGAGTCTGTGATCTGTTCCCTGTCTGCACCAATGCCTCCAAGTAGTGAGCCAGACAACTTTTCCGGGGCCGCAGTCCTCTATTGCCTGCTGCACGTTTAAAACAGTTACTTTACATGTTTTTTTGTGATGGAAGAGTTGGTCCAGTCTCAGTTATCTTCCATGACCTAGAGCAGAAGTCATAATTTTTGTTTTCAGGAATTGCTTTTGGTTATTTAGTTTTGTTTTTGTATTTATATAGAATATATTCAAGTTTCCAAATCAAATCCATAAAATAAGATTTATTCATGGAAGTCTAGTTCGTATACCTGTATCTTCTACTCTATTCCCTTCATTTCCCTTTACATAGCAATTAAAAATAATAGCTACAGTTTATTTTCCATTCTTCATTTTGTCAATTAAGCAGGTATGTGTGTGTTGTATTCATGCTGTATTTAGATAAACTCTACATATTCTCCTCTAGCTCACTTTTATTCGTGTAACTATGTGTTCAGGTGATCAGTCCACACTAGCAGTAAGAGATATTGCTTCATTAGTTGCATAACCCTCAATTGTAAGAGTCACTAACTTGTTCTGGTTTGCCAGTTACAGCAGTGATATTTCCATGTGTCCTGGGCAAACCAGATAGGTTGGTCATGTTGCCATTTAATGAATGTACTATATATTGTTTATTCAACCAACCTTCCTTGGATAGACATTTAGGTTGCTTCCAATCTTTTACTACCTCAAATAGTTCTTCAATGAATGGCTTTTTATGTACATCTCTTCATATTTTAGCAGTGTATTTTTGTGTTGTGTTTTTTAAAAATAGGATGAGTGACTTAGTTGTGCCAGATGTTGTCACATTCTCCTTCATACAGATTATACAATTATGCATTTGCATTTTACCGGGAGAGTTTGGGAGACTGTTTCTTTAGATAGTCACCAACAGAGAATTTATTAAACTTTTTTTCTAATTGAATAAATGGGAAATTATAGCCCCATAGAGTTTTAATTTGCATTCTTCTTATTATGAGCCAGTCTGAATGTTCTTCAAAGGGTTAATAACTACTTGTGCTTTTTTCCTCTGTGGATTTTTGGTGCAATTCACTGCTTTCCTGTAGGCTTACTGGTCTTTTTCTTCTTTAATTTTGAAAGCTCATTTATATATTAGATATATGGACACTTTGTGATATAAGTTGTAAATATTATTCCCATTTTGTCATTTATCTTTTCCCTTTGGTTGAAACACTTTTGCTATGTAACAATGTTTAAAGAATCAATTTATCTATATATTCCTATTGTGTATGGATTTTGAATCATAGTGAGAAATGGTCTCTCTGTTCCCAGACTACAGAGGAATTCAACTATATTTGCTTCTAATGCTTGCCTGGTTTTATTT